GAAGCCTGCTTCTCCCTCTCCCACTCCCCCTGCTTGTGTTCCCTCTCTCGCTGTGTCTCTCTGTCAAATAAATAAAATCTTAAAAAAAAAAAAACTATTTAAAAATACATACTGATTTCAAAGATGTTAAAATATGTGTGTGTGTTGGTGGGGAATGGGCATCTTAATACCATGCATTTATAGGATGTACTTGGCTTAACTCTAGGTTAGAGGTTTATAGAGGAGGGAAAGGCAGAGTCCTGAAATTGCTGAGAGAGACCCAAAAAGATGGCATGTGGGATCCTGAGGCAAAGAAAGCTGTAAAACATTCCCAAGGCTTGAAGCAGCCAACTAGGGTTAAATTTGGGATTTGGGACAGTGATGTTTGAAACTCCATTTTAACTTCAGGTTTCTGTTCTCTAGAAATACTCCTGTGGGGGCACCTGGGTGGCTCAGTCGTTAAGCGTCTGCCTTCGGCTCAGGTCATGATCCCAGAGTCCTGGGATTGAGCCCCGCGTCGGGCTCCCTGCTCGGCGGGAAGTCTGCTTCTCCCTCTCCCACTTCCCCTGCTTGTGTTCCCTCTCTCGCTGTGTCCCTCTCTGCCAAATAAATAAATAAAAATCTTAAAAAAAAAAAAAAGAAATACTCCTATGACCCCAAACTTTCAGTGGAAATCTGCTACAATACAACTAGAGAAATAAAAAAACCCATTTAAGAATCACCTTAGAAAACACCAAAGCAGTAACAATGATGGCATATATGAAACTGGTAAAAATGTTATTAGACCAACTGCAAGACATCACAGCTGAATGCTGGATACATATCACTGGTGGGGCAGGTTTACTCAAGTTTCTTCTCTTAACTTACCAGTAGCGTTTTCTCCTTAAAACTTTCTCCTCCCTTGGTTTCCCTACTATTCTCTCCAGTTCCTCTCTCCACCTACAATGTTCCTGTTCCTTTACAAGATCTTTAACCTGCCCTTAAACAATGACATTCCATTAGGCAGCCCCCTCAAAGAGCCTCTCCCTATTCAATCTCATCCATACACATGATTCACTAATTCACTCCTGGTTCTTGACTCTTTCAAGTTCTAGACTTAAATTTTCAGTCAGTAACTCATTAGGTTTCATCTAAAGCATTATCCATTCTCCACACCTGCTCCTTCCTGTATTCCACTTTAGGGTGAAAATCTCAAGTATGAACTTTTCCCAAAGTAACCATGATCACCTAGAACTTCAGGACCAGCTGGAAAGGGAGGAAGGACAGGAGAAAAGGACACAAAGGGAATTCTTAAGTCTTGATTCTGTCTTTCTGCAGGTTCTGGCTCCAAAGTCCTAAATTGACCTTCTGGATCTAGACCACGAGGCATTAAAATGTTACCCAGGGTGATGCTTGCCATGAAATCATATAACTGGGGCAGAGGCGGGGACACACTCGGAGTCTCGGAACCACCTTGTCCTTTCAAAGTACTCAAACCCCAAAGCCTGTGTCGACTGCTTTGAAAACCTGATCATCACACCCAAAGCAATACGTGTCATGATATAGCCAATCCAAGTCAAAGGCCCATCAGGCAGTATCTCGGGGTTTGCAAGTCTCGTCCGTTTTATTAAGGGGACAGAGTAAAGTTCCTCATAAAAGAATAAGGGGAAAGAAAGGATGGAGAATCTTTAAGAGAAGCCGAGATTTGGCAGGACTGGAGAGCTCCTTCTGTTCAGAGCCCCCTTGGGTTGCACAAAGCAGGCTGGGGCGGTCGGCTCACGAGGAACAAGGCCGACAGGAGGCCGCCGCTCGCGCGCCCCTCGGGGACTCACCCCGGCCTCCCACCCTTGGCAGCAAGGGCGGTCACGGCTGCTTCCAGGGACTCCGAGGGCTGGGGACGCCAGGGCCATGACCCGCGCTCCCCTCCCTGGGCCTCACGAAGAACCTCTGCGACCCCCCCCCTCACTCACCTGCGCCCTCTGTCAGCGGCCATTAGCGCCTTTCGCTGCAGGGCAGGCCGAGAGTCCGCGCTCGGCGCCGCCATTTACCGCTTTTCCCGGGCTGTGCGCGCACCGCCCACAATCCAAACAAACCGAAAGCCCTCCCGCCCTCTGCATCCCTACCCCCTCAGCCAGCGCACGACGCGCCTGCGCGCTACTCCTCCTAGCTCCACCCCTACGCGAGGCCTGCCCCCCGCCCCTGCCGTCGCCGGTGCGCGCGCAGGCACAGAGCCCTCGCGCTGGATGTGCCGTCCAATGGGGTGAGAGAGCGCGCTTGGCGGAAAGGGAAGGGGCGGGGGGAAGCGTGGAGCCGCTCCGTCCTACGCGGGAATCCGATTGGTCGTCGGTTCCCGCGGAAATCACGACTCGCTCTCCGGCGCCTCCCACCCTGCCTCACCCGCCTATTGGAAACACTCTACGGAGACCGGTTTGGCCGGACTTTTGACTTTATTGAACTGTTGGGGCCAGGGTAAGGGGGAGATGGGAGAGCACTGGAAGGCGTTAGACAGATATCGCACAGTGGATGAATGCCTAAGTGGGGAGCACACCCCTGAGGAGGGTGGGTCGTCGATGGTTGGGCCGCTCCCAGTGGCTAAAACCTGCATCGTAGCCACAGCACGATTCCAGAAAATCTGGTGTTCTGGTGGGATCCGAGGAAGCTGGACCGGGGGACTGGGGTAAAACCCTGTGGTCAGAGCGCACGGGTAAGGCTTAACGGTTAGACACCGTGCGGGTGGCTCCAGCGCTTCATAGGTGATTCAAGAGGGAGCCTTAGATACTCCGCCACCCCTCGCCAAGCTCCAGTTTTATCCTTTCTGGCCCTCATCCACCCATCTCAAAATCGGAAGCCCCTCCCCCTGGGGCAGTTTACTCCGTTGCTTCCCGCTAGGAAGCACTAGAGACTGCTCTTCAGCCCCTGGGCAGAAACTGCTCCCTACCTGGAGCACGGGCTGTCACAGCTTTGATTAGTTTTGCTTATCCAGGAGGCTGGGCACACTCTTGGTCACACTCAGCCCACACTGTCTGCAGACACAACTATTCCACCATTCTGCCTATAGGAAGTCTCCCACCTCTGTCCAGCAGTTGTCCAAGATAGAGATTGAGAGATTTTGTGGATGACCTTGTAATTGAAAATACAATGGGACTCGGGATCAGAAGAGTACAGTTAAAATCATTTTTATGCTGTTTACTAGGAGTGTGCCCCTGTGCAAATTCTCAAACTTCACTGTCCCTTGGAATCCTCATTTTTCAAATGAGGGTAGTAACATCTTACATGGCTGGGAAGCCTAATTGAGCTGGTAGACAGAAACACCCAGAACAGAAACAACATAGCTGTCACTCAGATGTTTCTTTTCTTCCTTCTCCAGATTCTCTGGATCACTCCTCTTACCCTCCATCTAACTCTGGAAATACCGGATATGGGGTAGGTCACTGAATGTTACCTGAAGACTCAAATTGTGCCACATACATCTCAGCTGGAAAAGGCTTACCATAGCCTGACTCCCCTCTGTGTTCAGTTCCCCATGCAGAAACACAGTTCCTGACACAGCAGGCACTGGGAAATGTTGGTCAAATGCATGAATGGGTCTGGTGCAGAGATGATGTATCGTGGGAAAGTCTTTTACGGGGGCGTCCAGTTGTTTTCAAAGAAAACATCATCATCAGGTTGACCAAAGCTGACATCATAGGCAGGGGGTGGAGTAAGAGGCTCCAGTTTGGGGGGCACCCTCAAGCTCTGCAGATCAGGAGCAGTAGACATGACCCGGGATCCCCGAAGCCGAAGGCTGACTGGATCTCTTCCGGAGTTTTGTGGGGTAATAGACCCCTCTGAGCCCACTACTCGCCTTTCTAGTCGGGCTCTACCGGGGCCGTCTGGATTGCTAGGCTGTCCTTCCTCAAGTTCTGGGGGGATTACAACACTGCTGTAGGGGGGTGGCTGATCCAACAACTGGGGGCGGCATTGTGATTCCAACACCACAGCCTCTTCGTAGGTTGGCACCTCAAAGGCTTCATTGTCACTGAGGGAGAAGAAATAAAGTCACTGGTGGCCTCCTGAAAGGAGTCCTTTTTCCCTTTACTGTCATCTATTGGCAAAAGACCCACCCACACCTGACCCCACCCACCACCTCAAAGATACCAGTAACAGGAAAGCAGAGCTGTATGTCTGAGAGACTAGAGGGACACAGGGCAAAAGGTCCATCATATATTCCTAAAATTCTGTCCACCCCTTGACTCACCGTGCATTGCCTGAGGCCCCTGGGCTCTCCGTCTGCATTGATCGCAACCCCCATTCCAGAACACAGGCCAGGAGGCAGACAAACAAAAAGAAGCCACCCAAGGCGAGAAAGAAATAAGCAACAGGGGCGATGTCCGGCCGTATGCCCAGTAAAGCCAGCCCCAGGAGGAAGGAGGTGCAGCACAGGAAGAGAAGCGGCTTCTCCAGTCTCCCCCACAACTGGGTTGGCACCATGGCCCCTCCCCAGGCTCCTGCAAAAAGACACACAGGTGTGTCTAAACCAGCAGTTGGCGTCCCGTCTGGGTCAGATTCCAAAGTAGCCATATTAGACACCTTTAGGTTTTAGGTTCTTCAGTCTCAAATCAAATGGCTCAAATATATGATCTTCAGGGTTCCATTCAGCTTTGTAATTTTCTCTATGATCACAGTGCTGTCCCAGGATATCAGTATGTGTGGAGTAGCCAGGAAATAAAAGTCCGGGAGCCTTCATGCGACTTACTGTGTCATGGCCCTGCCTTCCTTCCTTCTTCTTTCTTCTCTGCAGTCTCCCTTCCAGCTCTATCTTTCTACACCATCCAAGACTCAGTCTTGGCTGGCCCTGCCTGGGGCCTCCGCGCTCACCAGCATCTGTGGAATCCAGGTGATGAGGCAGGCCCTGGCTTTTCTCTATAATTGCTCTGCATTGGACCTCCACCCTACCTGCCGCCGTCTCCCCAGTTAGACCCTGTTGGGGAGGGAAGCTGGGGAGGAACACCACTTACCCTGTCTGACCCCATCTTTCCATTTCCTCCACTCAGCCCATGCTCTGGATGGGGGAAGAAAGTGCACATGGATGCAACAAAGGGATGCAACTATGTGAGAATCTTGCAAGGCCTAGGGCAATGGACAGAGGCCCAGATAACTCCTGATCTCTCCCTATCTGCCAGGGTATCCCATCCTTTACCGGCCTTAACTCAGTAAGCTCAGATTTCAAGTTTCCTGTCTGTAGTTACCGCAAGGGCTAGGAAGCTGGTGGGGGGAAGCCTTCTTTTCCCTCTCCAACACAGCTGCCACGCCTAGGCAGCAGCACCCCAAAACCAACCCATAAGGAGTTCCCTGAACTCTGCATAGCAAGAAGCCACAGACTCTAGGTAGGGGCCAGACCCCCTGCTTGAACCCTAACCCCAATCCCATGGCCCTCCTACCCTTCTCACCGGTGTTAGGAACTCTTCTCTCACCTGTCTGGACCGACTCCGCAGAAAGTAGGTTGTAGGGGAGCGGGAGGGGGGCGGGTGGAGCCCAGTGGCTCCACCCACTTTTCTGTTCCAATCCCTCCGTTCCTGCGCAGGCTTCCTCCTCCCCTTTCTGCTTACAGAGTGGTGCTATTGCCGCACCTTGATTTGTTTGGTTTTTACACCACACACCCCCTACAGTGCCTTAATGAGAGTGCTCCTGCGTCCCCGCCCCACCCCAGTGATCTTTGTACTTAGGACCAGAGTTATATTCAGTTTCCTCTTCTCTTCTCAATGCGCACTGTTTTCCGAGTAGTTTGTCTTCTGTTTAGGTAATATATTTTATGCTTGGAGCAGAGGCCACGGTTTATTTAATCTCTAGATCACATGGTGCTTTGCATGATTTGCTGTGGCATGGAATGGCGGGTCGTGCTTCAGCTGCCAAAGTACCATTTCTTTGAACTTGTTTTCTGCAGACCTGTAAGACGTTTTTGTGTATGGTTCTTGGCCCAGTTAACTCTGATTCTTCAAAAGTCACGTCCAAGGTGATGCCTACTATGGAGTCTGTCTCCACAGTGTATCCACAGCATTTCTTCCTACCCCTGTTCAAGCCTTTAGGTGTTTCTATAGTAATTTTCTGTTTATATACCTTTCTTCCACCGTGAGCTTTTCAAAGTGAGTGATAAGTTTCAATATATTCTGAATCCCTTCAATTGACATGGTTCCTGACACAGGTAGATGCTCACTAAACATAGCTGAATGCTCTCATTAGAAGGCTACCATCTTGCCTGGCCTCACCACACACTGCAGATCCAGGACCCGCTCTTATTTTTCTTTTTTTTTAAGTTTTTATTTATTTATTTGAGAGAGAGAGCATGAGCAGGGGGGAGGGGCAGGAAAAGCAGGCTCCCTACTGAGCAGGGAGCCCCATTGGGGCTTGATCCCAGAACCCTGGGATCATGACCTGAGCCAAAGGCAGACACTTGACTGAGCCACCCAGGGGCCCCTGTGACCATTCTTTTTTTTTTTAAGATTTTATTTATTTATTTGACAGCACAAGCAGGGGGAGCAGCAGGCTTAGGGAGAGGGAGAAGCAGATTCCCCACTGAGCAAATAGCCTGATGTGGGGTTCGATCCCAAGACCCTGGATCATGACCTGAGCCGAGGGCAGATGCTTAACCAACCGAGCCACCCAGGTGCCCCTATGACCACTCTTTTAAGGGGAATCCTGGTAATAAGTCTAGGTGACACAGGTGTTGGGAGGTGTAGAGGATGGAGGCATACTTTATTCTTGAGACACAGAGAAGGCTACAAGGCTGGGTTCCAGGCCTTCAGAGTGTTACCATTGAACAAACCAAGGGGAGTAGGAGATAATGGGGCACAAATCTAACCCCAAGGACAGTCGTGGGGCACAGCCAAGGCTGCTGCATCAGAGGATGTGTGGAGTGTGTGTGTATGTGTGAGAGAGACAGAGTGGGAGAGGAGAGAGGAAGGGAGGGAGGGAGAGAAGGATGAGGGTGCCTGGAGTGGAATGCAGGTGTGTATAGTGGTGGAATGTCAATGATGATTCTCTGACCAGATAGAGGAGAGGGAGGAGATGTAACAGGAAGGCTATGGTAGTCCAAATGAGCTGTGTCTCTATACGAAGTGGGAATGAAGAGTAGGGGGAGAGCTGGTTGTTGTTTTGTTTACATGAATTTCCATACTGTTCATCGCATATAAGGAAAGTATGACTGGGATCAGAAGGATTTGCATCTGGGGCGCCTGGCTGGTTCAGCTGATAGAGCAGGCAACTCTTGATCTCAGGGTCCTGGGATCGAGCCCCACGTCGGGCTCCCTGCTCGGCTGACGCTTAACAACTGAGCCACTCAGGCGCCTCTGGAGAATGAGATCTTTGTAGCATAAGGCTCTTGGTTGCCAGAAGGAGCCTACACTAGAGAGACTTGCTAGTTAAGAACCAGTTCCAAGTCAGGAAGGTTGGACTGCTGGCTGGCTGTGCCTTTAATATATTCTCTATCACAATAATTTTAAATAGATTTTCTAAAAATTCCATTTTTATACTGTTACTCTTTATTTGAGGCGGGGGCAGAGGGAGAGAGAATCTTTAAGCAGACTCCCCGCTAAGCATGGAGCCCGATGCAGGTGCTTAATCCTAAGACTCTGAGATCATGACCTGACCTGAAATCAAGAGTTGGCTGCTTAACCCACTGAGCCACCCAGGCGCCCGTAAAAATTCCACTAAAATCTTGCAAAATATTTAAGGGTCATAAAGAAAAAAAAATCATCCACAATCTCCTTATCCTAACATGGCCATTTAAAATTTCTACACATTTCTTCTAGTCTGTTCACACACTGGTTGAAATCAGAGTACTCACCATTTTGTATTTTTTAAAAAATTTAAACATTGTATCATATATAATTGATCTTTTGATACAGTCTTTGTTGTGGTAATTTTTAACAGCCACATAATGTTTTATTGAATGGATGTACCATTATTTAACATACCTTTATGTTATGTTACTTGGTAGCATTGAGTTTATTTTATTCAATTTTTTTTTTTTTGTCATCAAATGTTTCAAGAGACAGAAAGTAGATTAGTGGTTGCCAGGGGCTGGAGAGAGGGAAGAAATGGGGAGTAACTGCTAATGGATTTCTTTTAGGGGTAATGAGAACGTTTAAAAATTAGTAGTGATGCGGGGCATCTGGGTAGTTCAATCAGTGAAGCATCCGATTCTTGTTTCAGCTCAGGTCATGATCTTGGGGTTATGGCATGGAGCCCCTTGTGGGGCTCTGTGTGTAGCCTGCTTGGGATTCTCTTTCTCCCTCTCTCTGCCCACCCCCAAAATAAATAAATCTTAAAAAAAAAATAGTAGTGATGCTTGCACAACTCTGAATATGCTATAAAAGACCCACTGAATTTTACACTTTATAAGGGTGAATTATGCTTCCATAAAGCCTTTTAAAAAATGATGCTACAATGAACCTCTTCTTATGTGTAGTTTTACCTTCTTTTTGGATTATTTCCTCCCATTAAATTTCAAGAAATGTCATTGAGACAAGCAATGTGAAAGAAAGATTTTGTTGCCTTGAATACATATGGCCAAACTTCTTCCCCAAGGTTTTACTTTCCTTTTTTCATCAACTTAGTATCCTTAGCAAAATATAGATGCTAAAGATACTATTGGTCATTCTGCTTCCGACTTGCCTGCCTCTACAAACCACCATGTTAGGGGTCAGATTACTGCCCTAGGCGGGCCCACTATGCCCACCTCATTTTGGGAGGGGATAGTGAAGGGAGGGACATGGGAGGTTGCGG